TGTGTATAAGAGACAGTATATATATATATATATATATATATATATATAAAAGAATATTCACTCATAAAACCTAAATCTTTGATTGAACCATTAACATTAGATTTAAGACAGAGGAACCAACTTATCTCATCACATCTTCTAGCCTTAACAGATTTGAAATTTTTAAAGAGATTTAAAAGCCTATATCACTGATAGTATGGCTCGGTAAACTAATGTGGTTAGCAACTCAGGGAAGCCCTTTTGATGGTGTAACTAATTTGTTTGTAGTTGCCATACATGCCAACATTTTGATAGTGAAAAACGAGAGAATTTGGCGCGAAACGCCTGTGGGGAGAGGGGTGTGTTCCCATTAAATGGGGTGTAACCAGTGGCGTATCTAGAAGTCTTGAAATTGGGGTGCAGATGGGTGGGGGGCGAAGGTGAAGTGGGTGGGGGTGCTCGATGATCAGTTGAGGGGTGCTAATATGCAAAATAAGGTGATTTGAGGTGTTTTTTGGCCGTAATTTTTTGGGGCCGACTGGGGGGGGGGAGAGTAATTTTGGAGGGGCGTGCCCCCCTCGCGCACCCCTATATACACCACTAGGTGTAACCCCCTTGAAGCTTTAGATTTATGTAGGCGTATTATAAATGTAAATCTCATGATTTTAACTTTGTGTATAATTATTCACCGTAAGGTCTGGTGTAGTTACGTCACTATTATGCATTCACAATCTAATTATTATTTACGTTCATTTAAAACAATTATAGACACTGCACAACTCAAGGAGAGGCAATGCTCTCGTCGAGAAAAATATTGAAAGATAACGTAAATATTGAACTTTTCCTTTAATAAGGGTGCCCCTGGGTGTCTCAAAAGGAAGGAAAAATCGTAATTTCCAAACGTAATGATCATATAATATATTTGTATGGTTGTAGGCCTAATCAATTGCCCATTGGTTCTTGGTTAACGTTACTGAAAACAATCAAGCTCAAATTGAATACAATAAATACAGTACATTAAACCAAGGAGGTATAATACCTCCTTGATTAAACAGTAAATTCTAATGTGACGTGAGCTGCCGGTTGGTTGCTTAAGTTGACGTGTTTTGATTTGAGTTGACGCAGTAGGAGGCGTTTCAACACGAGAGAGCAGCTCTCTTTGCGGAGCTAGCTCTAAGCTGAGGGTGGAAAACGAAAGGGCTAAGTAGGACAAGAAGTAACCTTTTATTTTCGGTATTGTTTTGTTTAAACAACGACCGTCATGGGGAAACGACAGCATCAATCTGATAAGATGTAAGACATATAAGCAAAGTTATCATTTTTACTTGACGTCGGTCTAGCCTAAGAACCTAATTTTGGTTTCTACCCTCTTTGCCAAATCTAGGCCCAGCCCTAGGCGAGACCTAGAATTGTTTGTGTTTTTCTTGTTAGGCAGCTATATGGGCTTATATACCCACCACCAATATTTGAAGAAAGGAAGTGATCTTTTCGATGACAATATGTGAATAATCATTTGCAATTATTATTATATTAAAAAATAGAAGTCTTTAATAAATGTTTTTGAATATATCCAGGTATATTACATCAAAAGAATGGACCAACCTATTTGGTGGAAAGAAAAAAGGTAAGAAAATAGGAATATGGACCTATTTAATTATGGCATGATAATACTATATAGTTAGTCCTAGGCCTATGCCTATAGTTTATAGTAAGTATAATTGTAATCATATTTTAATTGTTTGCAGTAAATGAATTGCCACATTTGCTTGAGTTTAAATCTTGTAATAAATAGTGATGTAGGGCTATTTCCCTAAGCAGACCATATTTTACAGAGTCTGGATAATTATCATAATCACTGATTTTGTCATCAATATCAATAAAGTATTTACATGCTAAAGTACAAACTAACACTAATGGTTAATGGCTTTTATATTTTTATTAACACCAGTATGAAATGATATGATAAACTTATGCTATCAGAGACTGTGAAATTATTTCAAGATTTTATATTTTATGATAGTTATTAATTTCAAGTTACACCACAGTATTTTTTTTATATTTAAAAATTTTGTTTTCATAGGAAGTGGGAAGTCAGACTTCAAACGCTTGCCATTTGATCACTGCAGGTGAGTCAGGAGTGTATGTCTATTTGTGTTTATTTATGTTGATATATTATCACATACATCCACACTGTACACATTGTCATATATCGTCAGATATTGTTACATTTATTGTCACTTACATCGTTACAAACATCTTTCAAACATCTTTAAAACATCATCACTACAGCAAAGATGGGGGCAGGGCCAAACACACAAACAAAACAGCTCAAAATAGTCAAACATTTTACTTTTTTCTAGGTTCCATGGGCTTAAATATGAAATTGAATAGAAAATATAAGAAATTTGTAAAATTTGACTCCAATTTTCTAGACACTGTTTTAATAATAATTTTATATTTTTTGTAATATCTTCTTCATTGTTATTTCAGCCTTTCACTTCAACCATTTGAACATCCTTATTGCACTAAGGAGGGTGTGATCTTTGACCTTACAAGCATCCTTCCATACTTGAAACGTTACGGATTGAATCCCATCACAGGAGAGGTGAGAATATTATATTATAATAGAGTTGTGGTATTATAGTGAAGGTGCTCATCTTGCCATCGTACAGTCCTAGGTTCAATCCGTATATGTATTTTTTGCCTTCCCATGCATCATATTTTGTAGTTTATAAATAGACTAATAATATTCAATTCATTTTAATTAAAACTTATTTAAATCCATAGATCCATCCTTTGAAAAGGAGACAAATATATCAAATTCTAATCATTGTTTTTTTTTATTAGCATGCAGAAATATAATGAATCAATTGTCTCTATGTTTTAGCAAATGGACACCAAGGGTCTAATCAAGTTGAATATTCATAAGAATTCAAATGGTGAGTTTTAAGTATGCAGTACTTATGAGGTCTCTAAAAAGAGTACCTGTATTGTGAATTTAAAAATCTTAATGTTGCATTGCAATGCTTAAACAAATCTAAAGTTAATATACTAGTATAGCTCATATGAGGCAGCCTAAATACATGTTTTCCTCTAATTCAAGTTCCCTCCAAATAATGACCACCTCTAGTTAAAGACCTCTTTTTGTGGTCTTAAAATGAACATTTATGCTTTATTTTATGATAAATATTGTTCTAATTGGAGACCAAACCTGCTAGAGACGATGAACACACCAGTCTCAAAAGCGGTCTTGGAGGGAGACCTGTATAAATTTTCCCTAACCATTATCAGTAGGAGCATATGGTACACTGGTAAGTCATTGGCCCTCCAATAAAAATATCAGTGGATCTTGTCTATTTTGCCTCTTTGGGCAGCCTGCAGGGAACTTTATCCATGATTGTCCCTCCCCTCAACGAGTGCAAGATTGTACATGTTAGGTTTGAATGCTAACGGTAACATTAGAAAATACTCTGCCAGTGAGCTGAATATTTTTTTTTTTTCATGTAAGTTAATGTCTGGAAGAATTAGTATGCCAAATAATAATAAAACTGGAGATTTAGAAGCTCTTTTCTGCCTTGGATTTTCTGAAAGTGGATTTCATGTAGTTAGAATTGTTTTTTTGTGATGTGTGCCATTTAATATATTTATATTCATTATTGCACTGGACTAAATTCGCAATAAAGAAGGAAATGTTCATAATTGTACCTTGTGTTTTGATTACAATAAAGTTATCTGTATCTGTGTTAATAATAAAATGAACAAGATAATGATGTGAAACATATACTGTATAGGCTTTTAATATAAGACCAACATTTATTACTATTATTATTATTATTAGTACTAGTATTATTATTATTATTAATATTATAATCATCATCATTGTTATTATTATTGTTGACAGCAAGTTAAGCATTGTACAGTCATATCCTCTCCTGTTCTTATTCAATAATCAATCAATCAATAAATCAATCAATCAATTTCTGTATTTATTCATTAGGGAAGTACCATTGTCCAGTTACATTCAAGGTTTTTACTGACAACTCCAGTATTGTGGCCATCAAAACAACTGGTAATGTTTATGCACAGGAGGTAAGAAATGCTTCTGTCCGTTCCTGTTTTAGCAGTGTATTAGTAGCCATATGACTGTAGGAGCACCACCAGTGATATCCCTGTAGGAGCACTATTGATATACCTGTAGCAACAGATATTCCTACAGCAGTAGTGATTAGTAAGGCATTCATATAGCAACAGTAATATCTCTGTAGTGATATAAGACATACCTGTTATAAAAGCAATATATTGTACTTGTAGCAGTAATCTTTCTGTAATAATACTGTAATATTACTTTGGCGGTATCTGAGCAAGATGTATCCTAGCAGTGATATTCTTGTAGCAACAGAGACATACATGTAGCAGCAGATACAGACTGTAATAGCACTGTGTCAGCAGTGGTGTATTTCTAATAGTAGAGAAATAGCTGTTGAAAATCCCATTGTATTCCTCAGCTGCAGTAGCTTCATTGCTAACTCAATGTAGCATCATTGATAACCCTGTATATCTGAGTGTATCATCACTGCTAACCCTGTATAACATCATTGCAATCTCTGTAGCAGCAATGTCTTCTAAGCATTAACCCTTGAAGAATATGTGAAACGATGTAGTGTAGTACTTCAATATGTATTTGTTATATAACATGTGATTGTAAGTTCAAGTGTATAGAGGATACCAAGATAGAAGACAGCGGTATCATGTACTGTATAAATATAGCATTACCTTCATTATGGTTGCAGGCTGTTGATCAGTTAAACATCAAAACAAAGAACTGGAAAGATCTTTTGACAGATGAAGTGTTCACACGAAAGGATATCATAACATTGCAGGATCCGAATGATTTAGAGAAGTTCAACATCTCTGCCTTTCATCATGTGAAAAACAACATAAAAACAGAAACAGAAGGTTGGTTCCTCATATCTTATCCCTTTCAATATCTTGTTTCCCCACCTCCCTTTGTCTCCTCCCTCTCCTTGTCCCTTTACTTGTCCCTCTCCCCTTTGTCTTTGACTTCCCTGTCATTGTACCTACCTTTCATGTCACTTTGCCTGGTCCTTTCCCTCCCTTGTCCCTCTTCTGTGTATCTCCCACCTCTCCCTTGTCCTCCATAGTTTCTGTGACGTATTAATTAGACTCTGCATTCACTACTTTTATAAGCATTTTTGTTAGTATTTGTGCAATAGTTGGTTATTCTTTTCCAACAAATACATTATTGATTATTCTAAAAAATACTATTAATGATAAAATTATCAACCCTTGTTGTCAGTACAGGCTTATGGTAAAGTGATATGGTGCTTGAGGCAAGTAACTCAATAGGGTGTGGGTTCAATTCCTAGCTTAATCTCTTCTGAAAAATGTAAACACATTCTAAAAATTCTGTATTAGGAGAGCATGGGTAATGTAACCATTACATATTTTTGTCTACTTTGTATAGAGTTGCATACATTTTTTATAATAATATTTTATTGTACAATGTGTTGATGTTGTATGGCAAATAAAGTGATATTGAATATATTGTATTGTAAATTAACCAGCCTAATATTGTATGCAGCAATTATATTAAAATAGTTTTATTGTTTATATATATCACCGACACACCATTCAAAACCCGATACACAAACCACAAATACACTTTAAACACCCCCAAACACAGAAACAGCACTGTACTCTCCAAATACGTATGGAAATTAAAAGACAGCAACACACCCTACAATATCAAATGGTCTATTATCGACAGAGCATCGGCTTACTCCCCAAAAACAAAACGCTGCAACCTATGCATAACCGAAAAACTTCACATAATATATATTCAGACAAACAGTCAATACTAAACAAAAGAACCGAGCTATTGTCTAAATGCAGGCACAACAACAAATACTTACTTAAAAACAATTAACTCATTTGCATTGTTACCTGTTTTAGCATTCATATACTCGCACAATCGTTGTATTCTCTCACTCCTGAAGATTGCATTAGCATGAAACAGTCTGGGGTGGAGTGATTATACCCAGTTCTACAAGTTCTACATTTTCAATATTTACGCTCTGCATTATATGTGTATCGAGCACTGTACGTTGCTAGTATTGCCAACTACATTTATTCATTATAATAATGTCTGTAAGTATTATTTCAAGTTTTTTTATTCTTCATTAGAGGAAAGGAAAGCTAAAGGAGGATCAAAATATTACTTGAATAAAACAAATTCAGAAACTGAAGATATTCTGAGTGAACTTTATAGAGATTATAAGGCACCGGTAAGTACTTTGTTTTGGGAATGTTATCATTATTTTAATTTATCATTAAAAGTATTAAAATATTTGTTCACATTCAACAGCCACTAGATAAGTAAATGCAGCACAGCATATCTCAGTCACAGAACTGGCGGCTTTGCATTGTTTTTACCATGTAGGCTGAGTTAGTACTGAAATGTGTTAGGTGAAAAACGAAAATTGTGTTTTCACTTTTTTTTGACCATGTCATATCATAGGAGGGTGGTCTTTTTTCATTATAAATTATAATATACATTTAAATTTGGGTACTCTAATGTGTAAGTTTGTAGTCTTCTTTGGCAATTAATTTTATGTTTATAAGTCTGGGGTACAGATACAGAACAATAATTTCACAGTTTAGGTTATCTTGCCATAATTTGATTATTGAAAAGCTACGACATATGAATATTGACAGGGTACATAGAAATTGTTTATTGTATGATTCTTCGAATTTAGAAGATGAAAGTCATTTCCTTTTTTCTGTCCATTTTATATAAAAAAAACATTCGGAAAAAATATATACCTAACTTAAATGCACATGCATTGGGAAATATATTTTTAATAGATTAATTGATTAAATTTAGAAATTTATTTAGAAAAAAATCATTTATTTTATTAGTTTGATTTTATTGTGAGAAATGGGCCGGAGGTCATTTTTTACTGAAATAAAAGAAACTTGAACTCTGTTTATCCAATATTATATTCTTCATAGTTTTATTATATTTTTAAAATCGTGTTTTAATCCTTTGTCTTTTGTAGGAAAAAAAGGAGGAGAGTGTAAAGAAAGCAGATTCATTCAATGCTGTATGTACCGCTTACCATTGATTTTTTTTATGCAATATATTCTCTTAATCAATCAATTTATTTAATTAATGGGAAAAAAATAACAGTAACGATAACATTTTATTTTGAGCATAATTATTTTCCATTAATTTGGGATCAAATTTAGAAGTAAATTTTTTACACTTAAATGAAAGTACATATTTCATTCTAATTCTTATATACATGACTTACCATAGTATTCATGACCACTATATACATGATTTACTTCAATATTGGCTTGTTTTTTGTTTACATCTAACCATAAACTGGTAATAGCATAAGCAGTAGTACCTGATGATGACGTCTACTCATCGAAACATGTCGATTAAAAGCTGTATATATTTTATTAAGATGCATTACTGCATTGGTATTAAAAAGTACATATATGTTTTTGTTGTCTTTATATATTTAGGCTCATTTTAGTACTGGTATGGTGGCTGCCGGCTTCACATCAACTGCCATGACTCCTCAAACTCAACATGAAGCTGGTAAGCAATTAGATTATGAATTTGATTTAAAATGTTCATTGTTGTTATCATAAATATTAGATGGTACTAAAATGTATCTTATTTTACATCTTATTGTGCTGTAGACAAAAAAGATATCTTTCACAAAATTTATATAGGCATATAATCTCTCCCCAAGATTTTTACTTCTGATTCCAAAGCCAGACATTTTATTGTACTGCAAGTTTATTAGACCAACAGTGTCTATGGTTAGGTTTGTTTAATAAGCTCACCAATTGGTGAGCTTACTAAAATTCTGATGAACTGCTCTTAATGATTTTAATTTCATCTTGTACCAATTTTTTATAAGGATTACTTTATACAATGCTACTTTTAAGCCTCAAAGCTACCAGTGGTATTTTGTTGCATTTTTGAATGCAACAAAATTAATTATTTTTAAATCTATCCTCACAATTTATCCTCATGTTATTTTCATAGCTTGTGAATTTATGCCCAATTTCATGTCATTACTTGGTGAATCCGTCTGTACATTCTCTTTATTACTTGTGAATTTATTCTCAATTTCTTGTCATACTAGTTGTAAATCTATCCATAAATTATCTTCATTTCTAGTTATAAATCTATTCTCACATTTTCTTCATTAATTGTTGTAAAGCAATCACCACACATACATCATCTTTTACCTTTTCACAGCTGTGATTGATGAAGACATTATTCGGTATGAAAGGGTTAAGAAGAAGGGTTATGTTAGATTGACAACTAATAAAGGAACACTCAACCTTGAGCTTCATTGTGATATGGTAAGTTTATAATGGCAACCTCATTTCTGCACATAAAATATGTTCTACAACAGAATACTAGGAATTTAATTGTTGCAAAAGCCAAAATGCTGAATTTAAAAATGTGAAGGAAAAAGATTGTGGATAGAGTAGTGCATACATTGATAGAAAGAATATTGCAAATGAGTATATGAAGAAAATGCAAAATCTTTTAGAAGTTGGATGGCAACAGATTAATGTTTGTTTTTTATGTACACTTAACTAACAAGGAAGTTTTTATTAAAATAGTAATAAAATTATATAATAAAAAAATATTATAAAAGATTATTTTACATGTTAATTTACAAGTAAAATTATAGGAATGTATGAGGAAGAATATAAGAATACATTTTAAAATGTAAGTGTTTTTTTAGGTACCAAAAACTTGTGAAAACTTTATGAAACACTGTCAGAGTGGGTATTACAACAACACAGTGTTCCACCGGTCTATCAAGAATTTTATGGTAGGTATAAATTATTTATTTCAACGTTTTTTGCTTCATTTTAAAATAAAACATGCTATACAAGAGTACATCCAAAGAAATGTTAACTTTTACAATGCAACCTAATAAATACATTATAATATTAAATGACAGTTGAGAATATCTATCTAATTATGCAACCTCAATCAAATTATTGTTTTCCACTTTTCTATGTGAAAGGAAAGTTTGCCTTGTTTTAAAGAAATTATTTGCTCTACTTTCTCTAGGAAGATTATATCTTTTTTGAAATGATTAAAAGTTGGCATTTTATCAATATACTTACATTTATAAATAAAATGTTTTCCATAGAATATTATTGTATTAATAAAATCGTTCCTTGTTTGACATCCAAAACAAATGTCTAGAAGTGAAATTGGCATAGAAATATATAATTCAATAAGCCATTCCAGAATGTTTGTACAACTGAACATTGAAAAAACAAGTGAATAAGATTCTGATCCTCTTTTAGACAAAAATCACATCTAGGTGAACTACTTATACCTATCCGAAACAGTAATTTATTAGTTGCAATAATTTATTAGTGAATAAATTAAAAATTTATATATTACTACATTAATTAAAAGAAACTGAAATAATGAGAGAGGTGGTGTGTGCAGGGAATGTAAAACATCATATTATGTCCTTTAAAAGCATTTTGAATCAAATAAAAAATCTATGCTAAAATCAATGCTCTGTAACATGTGCACTAAACAGTGAAGGACGATAATTCATATAATGGCAATTTTTGATGACATAAATTAGTTTTATTATTATATTAAATAGATTCAAGGAGGTGATCCCACTGCAACTGGAAAAGGTAACAATGTTTTTACAACTCTTTAAATAATGCAATATAATTTATGGCTTATGTGGTTAAGGCAACATTGTTTACCTAAATAGGTTGTTTTGATTCGATCACATTGGTACATTTTTGGGCAATGGTTAACGATAGTTGTAAACATGGGTTGTGGCTGTCAAATTTCATTGTCAATGACATGACAGCATTAACAACTAGCATCTTCATCATTAGTCATTGTCTGAAGTGATAAGAACAGATTGGTTTCTATTGCTTAAATGTGATTTCTATAACTTGAATGTGATGGCCGGGCATTGTACCGCGCCTTTTCCATTGGATACACAGTACTAATCCCGAAAAAAGGAAAGCATGTGAATACATTATATATTTGTGAATGTATTATACATGTGAATGTATTATATAATTAATTTTCTTGTATGTTCATCTTTTAAGGAGGAGAATCTGTATGGGGAGGAACTTTTAAGGATGAATTCAAACCAAATCTAACTCACACCGGACGTGGGATGCTAAGTATGGCCAACTCGGGTCCAGACACCAACAAGTCACAATTGTAAGTCTTAATATTCCTACTCTTCTATTTTATTATTTCATTATAATGGCTGTTTGTTAGAGTAATATAAATTTATTGAAAAACCTGGAAGAAATCATCGAGGAAGCTACTAAATTAAACAAAGTGAAAAATATAACAGTGAAAAGATCATAAGAATTTATTCCAACATAATATCAGATATACGGGACCAATATTCTGGAATGCACTCCCAGTCAATAATAATATAAGTTGTATATAACATTGGTATAGTGAATCATGTTGTATCAGTAATTAAGTAGTTGTATTTCAGCATAATTTTAAATATGTATTTAACAAAAATAAACAGCAGGGTATAGACACAATAATAATATTTAATGACCCTAATCAACATGGGTTTTATTCCAAGAAAAGATATTAAAGAAAAGATAGATTCCGAGATGGATATCTTTAATTGAACGTGGTATTAATATTGTATCAATTATTTTTGAAAAAATGATGAATATGAAGTGCACTTATGTATATGGAAATAAAGATATGATAATATTTAAAAATGTGAACACACATTTGTATAATTTGCATTGTGATTTACTTATAAATTCCATTATGAAAAAGCTGAAAAAAATGTTCACCATATTATCTCCAGTTTCCTGACATACCGGTCATGCCGTCACCTTGATGGGAAGCATACAGTGTTTGGTCGAGTGGTTGGAGGTCTGGATACATTAACTGTTATGGAGAAAATTAAGACAGATTCCAAAGACAGACCTACTGAAGAGATTAAAATTGAAAAAGCCACTGTATTCGTTAATCCGTATGAAGAGGCTGACGAACAGGTTTGTTGTTGTTTAGTATTCAAAAATGTATTGGTCCTTTGTAGGTCTTAATAATTTTAATATATTCTTAATCATTGTAAAAGGGGTCCAAAATCTTCCATGAGGACTCTCACAGAAATAGTGATGGCGTCCGCCACTCCTGCGAGCAAGCAAGAATCTCCAGTAAAACAACCAACCTCCCACAAATTCATGATATTTGTTTACTACTGTATTATCATTTTGTCTCCCGGAAATCAGTGCCGATGAGTTTCAACAACATGTATCAAAATAAAATTAGATGTATTTAAGAAAGCTGAATTAACCAGACCTCCCGAAAGTGACTTCTTCCAAATTGTGACCCCTATAAAAAATGGAATGAGCCATACATTTGGAAGCTTCAGATTGTTTTTTATTTGATAGAGGCATTTAAATGAGAGTGGCTCTTGTTACAATTTTTTGGAGAAGTGGTTATGTTATCTATTATTTATCCTCTTAACATAGTACTTGTGTTATACATAGGCCTATCAATGTTAATGTTATTGTTTGTTTGTTTGTTTGTTTGTTTTGATTTTGAATCCAAAGACAAATACATAGAAATACAAAAACGACTGGATTCAGGATGGCCCAATTAGTCCAAAGCAGATGGATTAGTTTCCATTGGGGTCCTGGCATAAAATTAAAAAAAAAAAACAAACATTCACATTTGTATTTGGAGAAACTAGGCCTGGCTTTATCAATTTTTCAGGTCATTTAATAGATGTTGTTTTAATTTACGTTTAAATGTGTGTATACAGTATTGTCAAAAATTGTCCCAAAATCACTGTGAACAATACTAATGGAAGCAACACCATTCCCAAAACCATTTTATGAGTATCACTAATTTGTTTACAGAATTTAATCATTGCTATCATGATCATATAGTCTTAAAGAACATGTCAAATTTAAAGAGAATTTATGTTTGATTACTGCCAACCTCCAAATAAACAAAGGTGGCAAGATGTTTATGATCGTTATTTTATTATTTCTCAGTTGGCAAAAGATAGACAACGGGTAAAGGATGAAGAAGAAGCAAAGAAAGCTGGGCCTTCAAAACCAGTTACCAAAGAATCAGATAAACCAGTGGTGTATCGATCTGGTGTTGGTAAATACATATCTGGGTCAAGTGGGTGGCAAAACAGGTAAGATCTGTTTAACTAATGTACCTAAAAAATTTGGCAATAATACCACACTCCATATTATCATAATATTCTGTCTACTGCCCTCTATGATATGTAGTGATTTTGGTAGTGAGAAATAAAGAAAAATGGCGAACTGATGTCGTGTTGTCATAATGTATTTTTTTTTTTTTGCTAATATAAGGCATAAACTTGACTGACCTAAAATTTGGAAATCTTGTTTTTTTTATTAAAAAAAAAATATTTTATCCCCAAGGCCTAATGGAAATTTCAGAAAAAGCCTACTGCTACCTTGAAATTGCCAAAAATAAGATATGTATATTTCTTCCTAATTATGTAAATTCATAGCATTTAACCATCCCATTACTATTTTTTTCCCGTCCTCCTGACGATCTTAAAAAAATAATTTTGCGAAACAAGGTATAAACTTACTGTTACCAGTCAAAAGGCTGGCGAGGTTGATGATAGTCATTAAGCCTTTCTTTAATTGCTTGGGCAACATTAAGTTTTTTTAGCCTATTAACAAATGATAAAAATAATAACAATGGTGATAACACGATTTAAAGATGCCTAATAATTACTATTTTCTTTTCTAGTAACAAGAGGGAAGCTGATGAAACAACCCCAATAAGCACTAGCACCTCAAAGAAGAAAGTTAAATCTTCCCACGATCTGACAGACTTCAGCGGCTGGTGAAAATAATAATGTGAAATTTAATATTAATAATAAAACAACAAAAATATTGGACTTTACATTGAGCACTTTATCTTCTTAAATCCGATTGCCAAAATTCTGATAGAGGATATCTCAGAGATGCCAGCACTCACCATCTCTGAGATAGAGGATATCTCAGAGATGGTGAGTGCTGGCATGTATCCTCAGGAGCTATTCTCTTAACAAGACTACTATAAAGAGCCATTCAAGACTAGCATTTAAGAACATCAAACAAAAGTGTCCTACATGAAGACACAAGCATATATTACCATAGAATTGACCTTAATAACAGTTTCCCATTACATATTGAAGGGATACATATCAGCTCCTAGTGGCTGATCCATGAAAGGTGGTAGGTTGGGGGTTGCATCCAAAGCACCAATCTATGATTCAAAGAGGGGGTTTGGGATAGGTGATCACTTCAATATAGGCATAATTATTTATTAAATACATATTTTGGTTGCTACCAAGGACAAGTTCCCCTTCACCTTTCCCTAGATCCGCCACTAGTTCCGGTTGATGCAGTGAACTGTGTATCAATCATACAGTAATTATAAATGCAGTTTTGTGTCTCCTTTTCACTTGAATAGTATAATTTTAATGTTGTTCAAAATACTGGAAAGAGGCTTGTGAAAATTGCCATGTAAAAAAATAGACAAGATATTTTTAGTCTTGCATTTTGCTATTTTAATTACTTCACACACATTTAAACACAACAATACACTAAGTTAAATACAATCAGATCATGTTCTTAATATCTTACAATTTAGTAAACTGGCAAAAAGCACCAACAAAAAGAAAGCCTTAAACTATGTTTTACTATTTACTGTATTTTAATTGTATTTGCATAAGCATACAATATGGTCTGGATTTTCTGTACTAAAGTGAACTCAATTGACTTAAAAGATTGCATTAAACATAATGTGGTTTCTACTATAGAGATCTTTAGTCTGAGGGAGTTAGAGATTCTGAATATCTACATCAACCACTGAGCAGCGATTCTGTTAAAATGAACTTAAAATCAAATTTAACTTATGTTCTTTAAATTTGTCTAAATCTATTTAGTTTTTTTTTTTTTGCAAATAATAAATATTCATATCAATATGTCATCTGTTGCAGTTAGGCATTAGCAGCACTAAAGCCATGAACCAGCAATGTAAATATTTATACGATTGACAATATTTTATTGGTGTTTTTGTTTGAAAGCACTGAAATAAATAAATATCTTCACAAATGTTCATTTTATTTCATCTACTTATTTGTAAGAAATATATGCTTTACTATTATTTATTTCATCTTGCATTAATTTTTAGATAGCTTTTTTTCTTAACATGGTTCTACTGTACTGCATTTTTGGAACTTTTTGTTTATTGTCCAATTTACAAATAAAATATTTTACATAAACCTTTTGTTTATCTACATAAATTTACAAATACTTTGGTTTTACCTAATAATTCAGGTGTCCAGATTCTAATCCTGTGTACTAAATAAAACATTTAAAATAATATGATAAAAGAAATATTGCTAAGCTGCTGAATTTCTATAACTAAATAATATTTTTTAAAAAACCCATGGAGATATGAAAATGAATTCATCCATAACAAAGTAAATTTGAGAAAAAAAAACGTAATACTAAGCTGCTGATTGGCCAAAACTAAATAATATTAAGAAAAATATTTTAGAGTTTTACAAAATGAAAATGAGTGAAATTATCTTTTCTTTTTTAACACAAGTTGTGAAGAATGCCTCACAAATGCATGATACAATTATTGTATATTGATTAAAAACAGCACATTTTTGGCCTCCATTAAAAAATATTAAGTCCACTACTGTAGTAATAATACAGTGAAGCTCAACATCTGGGACCCTTCATGCTCTATAAGCATATTTTTAAGGAGGCTTGGAATTAATGGTTCTTTGCAAGATTGAACACATTACTGTAGCTGAACTAGTAAAAGCATGCTCCACATTAATATTAAAATGTTTATACTGAGTTCATGAAACATATGAATCACAAATATTCTTTCACATTTGCTAGAAAAGCTTTTACACTATAAATACCAAAAATATTTTTTTGCATTCAGCATATATTATATTTTTAATAATTAGAAAATAATTAAAAAGTAGTTGATAGTAATTGTTATTGTCGTGATGGAATAGATAACAACTGGATTTGCGTCAGGAGAAACATGTATAGGTGTAATTTTGCCCTACCTGATATAGAAATGTACTGAATACTCAGTATGTTTGAAAAAAATTGCGAAAAAAATTGCAAGTTCTCGGGTGGGACTCAAACCACAAGCCTGGCATCATACTTCAAGACCACCGATGTTGCGCCTGATGGCCAGGGTTGAATTCGAGTCCAAGTAAGCAGCAGGTTCTGTAGTGTTGATAGTAATTGTTATTGTCGTGATGGAATAGACAATAACTGGATGTGCGTCAGGAGAAACATGTATAGGTGTAATTGTTTTCAAACGTACTGAGTATTCAGTACATTTCCACCTATATATAAAAAGAAGTTGTTATGAAGAGAAATTTACTGATATTAACAAAATGACATCATTATTGACAGTAAGACTTGATAAAGACATCATCGCCAACATAAATCTACTCTGCGTATAACCAAGCCTACTAAATCAGACGAGAATTTAAAACATGATCAAAAAGATTTGCATTTAAAATTTAGATATGATAATAAATAGACAAGGTATATAATATCAAGGAACATGAAAAATTCTGCTTTAAAGCCATAATAACTTTATTGTTTACATTATTATTCCATGATTAAGAATCTCTCTTCACTACAAAGATTGAATTATGTTCGCAAGGCTAAAACATTTAGAAGGAGACCTGGGTGTGTTTCTGTCTCTTGATGGCCTCCACCCTTCTCTGCCTCTCTGCTACTTTGTTGCCGTGTGTCTGGGGAAGGGGAGGTAGTGATATTGTGTCCTTCTGGAATGCTGCATCAGGTCTGAAACAAAAATGATTATTGGATTTAGAACAAAGTAGAACCAGATCTTAATGGAGCTATGCCCCTAATATGGACACATTTAAGAGGACATCTGTATATTTATATATCTGTCATTTTTACATTGAGTACAAAAAATACTCTTTTCGGTGACCCCCACTTTGTCATTTTGGGATTATCATTTTATCTTTTTAATTGTACAAGTCTACACTGTCAAGGCCATCCACCTCCCACTAAAGCGTATGTTTTGTACTCGTGTGAAAATGATGAAAGTAATGGATGGTCCCTAAGCTATTTCTGCAATTTAATAATATAATACAGGCATCCCTCCAATTAAAGATCACTAGGGTGTCCTTAGTCTTTAGCAGCTTTGGTACCTAAATGAAGAAAGTGATCTGTAATCTAATTGGAGGTGGTCTATAATTAGAGGTGTCTTTAATTAGAGGGAGACATGTACACTAACCGCGCGAGCCAAATGGCCGAGCGGTTAAGGCAGGGGCACCGTGATTATAGCCAAAAATATCGGCACAGGTTCGCGGCCAGCTCGCTCCTATAGTTCTGGTGGTGGAACAAGTCTTCTCAGATAAGGACTATAAACCGTAGGCCCAGTGTACACAAATGCTCATGTGCACTTTAAAGAACCCAGTACATCCTTCGAGATGAGTAGGGGGTTACCCCGGTGTACTGGTTCACTCGGCCAGTTTACTGGCTGCGGTGGACATGAAGTGACCCTCAGGGGAGAAGAAAGTTATTGGCAAGTGTTTATCTGCGCCATAGAAATCAATCTACTACTACTAACCTACTATTATCATTATTACAGTATTATGATTCTTGGTTGTCAAAATAACAATGTCAAATTACGAGAGACTTAGAAATGCTCAACTGCAGAGGTAGGCGGGAAGTTCAGAGTCCATTACCCCCTTAGTGTGAAAGACAAATATTTATAGAAAAGTATATCAGTACTCTATATTATTACATACAAGATAACAGAATTGGTTAACAAAGACCAATAACCCAAAGATAACCTATAGATGAAACAATTACAAAACCTTTAACTACTAAATTGATTAAAAATGACATGAATAAAAATACCTTGAATAAAGTAATGGTCCTTGCACATTAAAACCTATTTTATTTTCGACTATTTATATTTGACAAAAGCATTTATCAGTATAATATTACTAGCATTTTATGTTGGTATACAGTTAAGATACCTAATAAACAATCCAAAATATATGACAAGATAGCCATACAAGAAAGCAAAACACCATAGCATTTAAGTTGTATCAAGATACAATTAAGATTATTACAAAGGTTGCTAAGTGGTCATCCATAATTTTCTTTAAAGTAAAAAACAACATACTCTTTTCTGTGATAACCTCCCCCACCAACAAAAAATGTACACAAATAAAATGATGTGTGCAATTTTATCTTTCTTCATACAAAAGTGTATATGCCTACATTTTCAACACTCCCCCTGCTCCACCCCCCACCCCTTACAAATGTGTATGTCTTTTACTCTTTAAAAAAATGATAACAATTATGGATGGCCCCTAAATCAAATCAATATTACTTTGGTTTTATATTTCTAGCACTAGCACAGCAATGAATATAAAAACTATTTATACGGTACAAGAAATTTATGCACATGACAGACATCAATAACTCTTACATTTTCCTGGATTGGTTCTTTAGCGCCACTCGAGGGGACTTTCCTTCTCCTCTATGAGAACATAAGAAAGTTCATTGTTACCACCATGTTGAGTTTATATCCTAAAGCTAATTTAACTACAGTACACACTTAAGACTATAATTTCTTATTAACTTTTCCAGGATTTGTTACAAAATTATTTGATACAAAATGCTATAAATGATACAAACTTTCAGTAAAAGAAAATTCTATCAGTTTACAGTTCCTGAAAAAGTTAAAAATTGTTTTTTTTCCATGAAAAAACAGGACAGGAATATGTACAAATTAAATCTTTACTTACTCGGCAGTGGCAGCGCCCTCTTCTTCCGCCACATATGCCTTCGCTAATAAATACGCATCCGGTGTCCACTTATGTGAGTAAAGAACGTCTTTTAAGTCTGCTTTTAATCTCGTCAACTGTAAGGGAATAGGAAAAACCAAACAAGCTGAATAGGAAGGTGATAGTTCAAAGAAAACTTCATCAATGATGATATTGAAATGTATTTGTTTGTGTGCACTGAATTGTGAAAATTCATTGACCTCTGATTCCTGGTTCAAATCCAATGCTTCTCTACTTGCATTTTAGCTGTGCGGGTGGGGGGAGAAAGGGGGCTGATTGCAAACTACACTAGTGCAACGCCTTTCAGAATAGCCATTTTTGCCGTTGGTCATAGGTGTAGTACCAAAGGATGCAGCACACTCGTTATTAAAACAGCGAGGGACTATCTCCCAGTGTATTGCACAGTTAACTACCAGATGGAACTGATGAATAATACGTCTTTGGATATTCGTTGCACACCGAAAAATCTGACCAACGAAAATGTGTACACAACCTCCCTATTAATATCTTTACATACCTCATAACCTTGCCTTTCATTTACTTCTTGTAGATGCCTAATAATAACCTCACATTCCTCCAGTGTGGGGGATCGGGGAGATGCATCGGTAGGCCGTTGGATTTTGAGTGGATTGGTAGAAACAGGCATAGGGGGGTCTTGGTGAGTCAGACCTCGATGGGGTGGGGTTGTTTGTTGACTGACTTCATTATGTGGTGTCCTAAAGTTAAAGTTACAAGTTGTATTATGGTGAGAAGGTACCTAAATTCAAATTGTGTCATTTTTAAAACAATTCCATTTCCTAGAGAATTATTTTTACCGAGTACTGTTTACTGTTCCATTCTGTAATTGGGGAATGTATGTGTAGGAAATAAAAACAATACATAAATTATATGAACATTATATAAATCACTAATTTACTGTTTTCTTGCTTTGTTTTATTCATATTTTACATTTCTTTTTTGTAACTTACAGTTTACTTTTATGGAGTGGATTTTGTTCAGTTTCATAATTTATTTTGCCATTGTTAAGTATAGATTATATTTATTTTACTAAATTGTTGACTTTTGCGTACTGTACACTGATTATTTTTGTTGTATCTATATTATTTAACTCTTGTGTTTGACTTCTGCTTTCTTTATGCTGTACCGTAATGTGTAATTTATGTTAATTGTAAATAAGGTATCTCACGGCCATAATGAAAAACAGCATTGTATTTGTTGATTTGTGCTTCGTGAATAAAAAAAGTTTTACTACTACTAATAAAGCACTTGCCTCATGTGCCCATATTCATCCCTCTATGCCAGTAAACCTCATTAAATATCCATTCAATGTGTGGAGATACTACGTAACTGATTAAATTCATGACAACTTCGTAAGATAAAAAAGTGTTAAATCTAATTAATAGGCAAATACACTATGTCAAAAGGTATGAGAATACTTGCCTTCTATTGAGAGCTTGCTCCAACATTTGTTGTAGATACGTATTTCTGTTGCGTGCTTCTTGTAGCGCATACCTCAATTCACGCTGCTCCTCTTCTAGGAAACGTGCTTTGAATGCATCTAACGACACAGCTAAAACAAACAATTAGAGTAATCAATTAAGAAAACCTGCTATTTACAGTGCTCTGGTCATAAGAGTTAAATGGCCTTTCATTCCATACTTGAGTGGAATAAATATTTTGACTGACAGTTGCTCAGAATACACAAATCAATGGTATGTTGGTAGTCTATGAGTGGATACTTACCTGGACAAACCGACTCATTGCATATTCCCTCACAAAAGAGAACACCCCTCGAAAATAAAATGGTACAGTCAGTCCTGACTAGGCTTAGTAGTTGAGACAATACTTACAGCCACTACTTCAATGTTTCTTCATTTCAAATGATTTCATAATGTTCATATCATTTTAATGAACATTTCCACTAAGCTCCACCCCTTGGATATTCTTTTCCCACCCCCTCCCCCCCAAAAAAGTAGTGTAAACGAACATAAAAATGTGTGTTTATGGGATAAAACACATGTTTGTTGGACATGCGTGTTTCTAGCACCGTTCTGATTGGTCAGTTGTTGAGTTTGATTGACACATTCTGGATCTATCAAATCTTTAATGCAGTATTGCTTCATGGTTTCATATTTTTAAGGAAAAGGAGAAGGGGAGATGATATTTTGGGTTTACCGTCCTTACCTTGTGCAATAACAGGAACACCTTCATCTGTACTCGCTATTGACTTTAAAGAATCATTACTTTTATCTGCAAAGAAAGAATAAATTATTGAGACCTCGAGGTTGGGATAACCAAACCATTTCCACTGTGCCAAATCGCCTCCAACCACAGAATGTAGCATGTACATTAATGTAATATCAGTCCCCTTAAGTAAAAATAACCTTTTATTTCAAATAAAATATTTTGCAGGCATAAATGGGAACTGGTCTCTGTAGGAATACACCTATCACAAGCATAGGGTAGTGCTCACTAGAAAAAAAAGAACACGCATTCCTTAGGGCATTATCTTACAAGGACAATCCAACAAATATTGATTTAAATTGAAAAGGCCTCAATTAACTGGATTAAAATACCTCTGAATTATTTACTTCGTTCAGAGCTTTGAATCAAATTCTATGAGACAAGAATTAGTGATTTCATGACATGGGCATAACGATGTCATACCGCACTCAAACAAAATATGATTTACAGTACTATTATTATTATTTTCAAAATCTGAAAAAAAAAACCATTTCAGCTTGTTTTACTTAATTTTACTTTGCATTTATTTAGGGAAAGCTAAGGATGAACAAACAGGGATGTCACCAGCTTTTTGAAGTGCCGGTCGGCGATTATTCCGCGTTTTCCGGGGGTGGGGGTTCCACAACCCCCCCCCATTTTCCCGGGGGTGGGGGAGGTTCGCCGTATTCGTGAAAGCTCTTAAAAACCAAAAGGCCTAAGTAAGTCGAGCAGGCCTAGGCCCAAGGCTAGCTGACGCGATTTTTTTTGGCTAGTCCCAGGTAGGCCTAGGCCAGGCCCAGGTAGGTCTAGGCCAGGCCCAGGTAGGCCTAGGCCAGAATTTGAGGAATGCAACAAAACAGATGAAGATGAGACTTACTGTAGGCCTAATTAAATTCAATAGTTGACATGCTTTGTTTTAGATTAAAAAATAATAATGAACAAATCCCTAGGTAAACTAATTATTTTGTTACAATTTGTAAACTGTTGAAATAATAGTGGTGGTCGGGAGCCTGTAAATCCTGGTCGGAAATGTTGAGTGCTGGACGGGCCCGTCCACCGCCGACCAGCGTGGTGACATCCCTGAACAAAGCATTTAATTTTTTGCCTAGTAGCCATCGGGCACTAAATGAAAATATGCAATAAACAGACACTTTTACATTATTATGTGTATCAGGTGTTAAATAGCAATTTAACTATTTTTCATGTGTATAGTATACTAATATGATCGTAAATACAAGATGGACAGAATGTTGAGTATTGAATAATTAAAAATATATTTTCTTTTCATAATATAATTAACAGACACATAAAAAATACATAATTTCCTATATTTTGTAGATAGCATTGGTTGGCAGTTGATTAAGGACAACCAAAGTAATAAAAAGCCTATAATAAATAAGAGAAACAAATTTGTCTTTTATTTCACTTCTCAGTGGAAGTTAACTTTGGTCCTTCAAACATAATGTAATGCTATAATACAGGTCTCCTTCTAATTAAAGCCCCTCTAAATAAAAGACCACCCCTAATTAAAGGCCACTTGGTCCCACATTTACAAATGTCTTTTTTTTTATTATTCTAATTATACACCAAAGGTTACTAAAGACCATAGAAACCTGGGTCCCAAAAGAGGTCTTTAATTGGAGACCTATTGTACAGTTAAATTTTTTAAAGGTTTTCGCAGATTTTACAGTTCATTATTAATGTGGTCTTTTCTAATAATGCTAGAGAATAATTTTGATATGGTACTGACCCTTATGCTTATTGAAAATATAAACATCCCCTTAGCTGTTTACTCTATGATTGGCAATGACTACACAGTGGTTTTCTTTAAATGTATTGCTGACCATGAGAATGTCACCCCTCTGCTAAGCCTTTACTTATGTTGAATATTTTGTAAATTCAAAATGATGCCCTTTGTCATTGATTAGATACACTATTATTCCACTTAGCTAAAAGGACAACACATTGTGAAAAATATTGGACCAAGAATAAACACTTTAAATGGGTTAAATTGAATTGTGCGTTAGCATTCCACAACTAATGCTGGCTTCATTTTAGTGCCTATTCAAATAAGATTAACAACTGGCTTTCATCAACACGTTTATGTCTTAACAATAATTGGATGTAATGGTGGTGACAGATAGGTTGTTACAGTATAAAGACGCTTCATTCATTTCCAGGATTCAACCCCTGTGAGGCAACTTGACTGAAATGATAACTTAGGCCTATTGTTTGACTATCTTGTAATTAATAGCAAATGTATGCAGTTTGAGGTGAAGAAATAGATTTGGCCATCATCTTACCTTTGACAGGTGGGCTGTTTCCTCTCGCCATTATTAGTTTAAAATGAAAATCTGCAAAATAGTTTTTTGCTATAGTTATTCGAAACAAAATAATTGTATCATCTGCTTATCTATGTCTATCATAGTAAGACCCCTGGATCGTGTTTGCCAGATGATCTTTCCTCTACTATACAATTGGATTAGATTGTGAAAGCTACTCTTTAAATAAATAGATATAATAAAATATAATAAAAGATAAGATAAATAGAGATAAATTTAGCTACTTTAGAATAATTTACTAATTAACAGTTTAGTAGTCTATATTTTAAAGTTAACTGTATAAAGTCATAGCTAAAATTATTCACTTTGATATATCCAGCATAAATTTTGAAATTGTTTCCACTTGAATATAGATATATAGAATGTCTTTATTTAATATAACATTAAAAATGTTGCTTTTCACAAAATGTTAGTCTTTTGCAGTTACAATAGGTTGATTTAAGGAGGTATCTATTTAATATATCTCCTTGGTTGATTGACAACTGAACTTATCTGAAATTATCAAGTTTCAAGATCAGTATATCAAAATACATCAAAAATAGTAACAAATCACAAATAATGAATACAAAACATCTAATTGGTCAACTTAGGGGTTAATCAAATATAGGTACCTTTAGCGTTTTAAAGGCAAAAAGGTATCTAGCTGTGTCATTAGAGGCTGCTTTTCTTCAATAATGTTTCGCCCGTATTCTTAAAACAAACTGTAGTCGAACTTCGAACTAGAACTTTATTTAGTGCTAGTTGCAACTTCAACTCCAATTTGTATTCACAAACAACGTAGTCGAAGTTTTAACTAAACTATGACTAAATCAAGTCCTAGTTTTAGTTCAACTGAAGAAGACTGGCAAACCACAACTATCAAACTAACCAATGAAAAGGGCTAACTTTAATAGCAGACGAAATTTTAGAGATCCAGTAACATGGATGAATATTAAGCTGCCGTCTGTGTTTCAAAAAGGTATCTCCTCATAATAGACCATCATTCGCTTATTTAATTTTCTATAATAGTAACTATATTAGTTGTTAACATATTACGATTGAGAATTTGAACAGACACTGAAAATTTGCTTTCTTTGGAGAACTATTATAGTTGAGCCCGAGCGAGGACGGCACTAAATTTGTTATTGTTATGGGGAAGCTAGGTGATCTCAACGCGACAGGATTTCGTGCAAATCAGGAACTATCGCATGTGGCTAGCAAAACATGTTAATTTCTCCTTTTGGAAGCTAAACCTGATGTCTCTTTTGTTTAACACACCGAAGATATATCAAACCTGCGTATACAATCGTTTCTATTCGTTTCACTTTGTTGTGTTGTGTTGTTGGTGGGGAAAATATTTCAAGTCAGCGATTTAGCCTGACCCTACGCTGACTAAAAAAATTGGCCTGCGGAGGTATCATTTTGGTCGAGGTTTGCGTCATTTAGTCGTAGTGCTAGTCGAAGTTTGTTTTAAGAATACAAAATGACGTAATTTTTAAGTTTTAGCTCGAACTATGACTAAAGTTTGTTTTAAGAATACTGAGGTGAAAGTAGCAGCATTCCTACCTTTATTTTCTTGTTTCAAATGGCCAATTTCCTCATGTAAACTTCTAAGCACCTCTTTGTGCTGGTGTTTTAAAAAGTCTATACTTTTCTCAAGGTGTTGTAGCCTAGCTGTTTGATCCATATCACCTGAAACTGAACTAGCTACATCAAAACTGTCCCCTAGCTCTTTAACCTGCCTGGGCGGTGGTAGCACCTGTATCTGGTCACGTAGGAATGGCTTTGGATAGCGTGATTTGTCCAGGGAGTGTATCCTAGGCCACTGTGGCAGATTTTGTAATGGTGGAAGGCTGGATGATGACATTGACATAATTATTGACACTCTTAGAATCAGAATATTCTTCTTTTAAAATTAAATTTATCTTGTTACTGACGTCATCAGCTTTGAATCATATAGTCAGTAAAGTTCAGATGTTTGTTTGATCGACAGCATTTTATCCTTAAATGCGATTAGCACATGATATCCTGAAACACATTTCAAATCTGAAAAAACAAAACAACACTGCTGTAATAATACCATATCACAATGAATGAATGCACACTTCAAATATTTTTTTTTTTTGCACGCTAGATACTTTTGAATGGAAAAACACTAGGACCCCATTCCGCAAACTTTTTAGCCCACAACCCACATTATATATCAAGCACTCATAGGTTGCAGAACGGTTCATTAGAAGAATAGATGCTCAGAAACGCAAACACAGTGATAGCAAATTTTTTTGTACAACTGATTTTTCTAAGACATTAAACAGGGTGTTTGGCTAAGAACTTGGAAACGGCTAACAAAATACAGATTTTCAGATTTAAAATTAGTGTTCAACCCCCTTAGATTGTAAATTAGGCCTTGGCCAATGTCTCAATATGCAAGCAATGTTTTATGCAGTATTTACGATTCCGCACACGTAAGTCTATTTTTCTAGCAATTCTTCACACAAAGTTTTGATGTATCCCCCAAGCAAATAAGATACACATGGATATTCTTCTGAAATGCCATAGTGCATAAAGATAGAATTTGAAAGTCCAAAGTTTCAGGTTAGGTTTAAACCAGCTCCACCAATCATCACCAAGGATTTATGTAAAACCATCAGGAACAATATCAACAGCCAATAAAATACTTTACAATGTGGTAGGGGCCAACACAAAAAAATAAAGGCCAATCTGATAAAATACAAAAAAAAAGTTATTGTAAAAAAAAATAAATAAAAAAAAAATATGGTGGTAAACAAAAAGAATACTCAATAATCACAGGATCTAAATCATTTCCAAATGTAGTTTTAATCAGCCCACCGGTATCGACAAAACTCAATACACACGTCCACACAGGCAACATATACACAATCACTCATTGTGAAATCATTAATTTTCTCTGGCATACATAAATTTGTAACATCACACTCACACAGGCCCAAATGTACATTCCTCAACTCCAGTCTTGCTATGTTATTGAGGATAGGATGGGGTACTATACTAAAGTGCATTAGCGCCCGGTACCCATTTGGTTTACTGTATTGGCTAGTTTGCTGTTAAAATACAATATAGTGTTGCTAGTATTCTTGAAACTACTGAGGGCTAGCTAGGTACTCCTGCACACCTGAATTGCAGCCTACCTCTCCTCCATCATCATTCATGGTATCAATGAAAAAGGCTGCACACCATAATCTCTAGCCTATGTGTGATCCAATCCTCTCAAGTTCACCACCAAATCCTCATCAAATACCATTAATTGTTATATACATTTCATAAAAACAAATTATTAATAATCAAAAATATCATTTTAGACTATATGTTATTGCATTTGATCAAAGAATACTTACGACATCATCTGTTTTGTCACCAAAACACACACTACATCTACACTTTGGTCTCTACTTATCTGTGTGTGATCGTCATTTGATGTGATTGGTATGCATGTTTAATGAGTTGTTGCTATGATGGTTACGCGCAGATAAAGGTCGGGGGTTACCGACGTCGTCGGGTACTATTGTCAATCATTATTATTTTAAGTTGAACATTAATTATTATTTAAATTAATAATCTAATAAATTATATGTCATTATATATTTTATATATATATTAATATATTATAGTATATATAATTGTTTTATTATACTTTAACTTACTTTTTGGATGGATATATAATATAATACTTTTTTGAAAGGTGTTAAATGATGGCGGCGAATTTGAAGCGAAAACAGTAACAATGCGATTAAGACTTTTTTTGGCGATATAGCGAACAAAATCAATAAAATATCATTTGTTATTGTTCTAATAATACATTACAATGTGTTGGTTGTGCTTTAACATTTTCTAGCATTTGTGTAAGTTTTTTAATCGTTTTCTGAGTTTAGGCCTAGGCTAGGCCTAGATGATAGATTGTTGACCAACACACCACACAGACAGGCGCCAGAAGGCCAGGCCCTAGGCCTACCTGCCTACTCTAACTAGCTCGGCATAACCTAGGCTAGACTAGCTAGGCCTCTCCAGGACTGAACTGGGGAGTAGATACTCAATGTTAGTTGCCTATTAATGAATATAAATTAATTTTTGATCCCAAAATCTTTCAGAGTTTGCAAGCCTAACCATTTTGTTTGCTCTGTGGTGAGCTGAGCCTGTAGTGTAAACTTCTTAGTGCCAATCAATAATACTGTATGTTCCAATGCAAGAATCCAATCCTTTTATCTGATCAAGACATGATACCATCGATTGGTAAAGATCTGCACATTAAATAAATCTATCATTATATTTTAGATACCTGTATAGGTTTTGTCTACTGTATCTGTTGTTTTGCTGTTTTGATAACTAATATTATTGAAATTACTAGCTATTAAGTATATATTTTAATTTTAACTTTGCAGTTTAGTTTTGAAATTATATAAATGTCTGCCTTGATATGAAATTTTAGTTTTTTCTTTAATTGTTCAGGAACTTGTTTGCCGTGGAATGACAATTGCCTAGGAAGTGCCATACTGGACATGTAGGATGCATAGTTATACACAAAGATTCCCAACAAGGGGCTTGGACCCAGACCATAACCAATTGTATTTCAACCTGAACACACCAACACAGACAGAACGTGCATCGATCAGATTTCGTAAGCCAGGCCCAATCATTGTTGAAAAATTAGTGGATGATAGTAGAGCGAATAAAGCAAGAAATGAACAGCCTGAAACTCCTTTAAAATTCAGCGCTGTCTCTGAAGAAAAATTATCACTTGCAATACAACTTGCCAAGCGTGATCTTAGGCAGAGGAGATTTGAAAAACAGCACTTAGAAGAAAATGAGGAGACGTTCAGCCAACAAAAGCAAGCCAAAGAAAAGAAAAGGGGAACAAAAAAGGGGAAAGCAGCTTCACATCACAAAGATGGCAAAGGAGAAAGTAACAATAAACAAAAACAGAATGCTGGGGTAGTTTTGCATCCTAGGTCACACAATGCAGGATATATTCTTGAGTCCAATCAGAATTACAAAAGGAATATAAAGGGGAATCCCAGTGTAGGACGTTCAAAAATTGTGGCCGCACCAAGTCCTAGCAGTGGGCCAGTACAAAGAGACCATGACAGTAAACAAGCACAGGAGATAAAACGACTACGACAAGAACTTGGTCATTACATAAAAAGGATTGAAATGCTATCTAGAAAAGGTGAGATCGTAATTATGTTTTCAAATATTAAACCATTCATTTTCTATTGTCCCAATTATAATGTCACTCATGTTCAACTTGAAAATTGTAGAATTGTTTTTGACATGGTATTTTTATATAGTCTTTGAATTCTGTTTATGATTGTTCTCTTGTTTCTTTGTTTAATTTAAATGTTCTGACTCATACTCACAGTAGTGTTTGGTCCATGTTCCATACGATCATGTTGATTGCACAAAACGGTGTATTTTTCAGCGATTTCCCAACAAATTTAATTATAGTCTGCTTGTTACTTGTGTAAATATCTTTTAATTATGATAGTTTAAATGTTTTTAAAAGTAAAATTGTTAAATCTATGTAAGTGGTTTTCTTTCAATTTTTAACATTATTGTTTAAATTATCATTTATATTTTATTACGTTTTGATTTAACCTGTTAGTGGCGGTTGTTTTTGCTGTTGGTTTCGAAATGAATAAAATAAAATAAAAATCAAGGATTGTCAGCAGATTCTAAAAATATATCAGAACTTTGCAACAATGCCATTACAATCTTTAAGCTCAGTGCAGATTGTCAAATTTTCTTTGACAAAAAGCTGGTGTATGCCCATATATAGTCATGATGTGTCTATATATGGTCATCATGTGATGTCATCATAACCATAATTAGGAATGTCACATGTTTTTCAGACAAAATTTGATAGTCTGAACTAGGCTTTAGATCCAACATTCATAAACAAAAAATTAGAAACCCCTATAAAACCCCATTTTTTTTTAATGAAGTCTCGTAATGGTTTATTGAATAATGGAAAAAATTCCAATAGTAATAGTAATAATAATATTAAATAATAATTGGTATAGTGATAATAATAATAATTTTTAAACAAGTTTAATGTCGTTTTGTGAGATTCACCTTTATGTCATTTTTATTTTTTTCCTTGTGAGAATGTCGCTATTTTAGGATTTTACTGTTGTTATTATTGACGTTTTTTATGCGTCTTATCCTTATTCATATTTCAAAGCTCATTTTTTGCAATACATTTATAATTAATTGAATTTAATTTAATTATCAAAAAGCTTCTCACCATCTTACTTTGACAAAGCCAAAGTGCAAAATCAATCAATTTGAGGTTTTTTTTTTTTTTTTTGAGGCACAGCTCTGTGGAATTCCCTTCATGAGGACTGTTTCCTTGAGGAATGTAACCTTACTTTACTAATTCCTCCATGTTTCAAGCATACAGTAGTGTGAATCATCACCTTTTCCACTCTGAAATTGTTCTTTAATGTTTGCTTGATTGAGATCTTTTTCTTTTTGTCCTGCTTAATAATAATATACTTTATTTAAACACAGAGACACTTGAATCACCCATGGGTGTTTTTCATCAAGGCCGTGTAAGGCCATACATAATTAGAAAAGAAAAAATTATTGAAAACAAAATGAATTAAAGAAAACAACAAAAACGTAATATCTTAACTACTAGTGAAACTACCCCCGCCGGACACCAACCCGGTATTTCTAAGCTTATCTCCTATTAATCTAGCCTTTACCTTGAGTGGCTTTTAGCCTTGTATTTGGCAATTTCTATTAAAAAAATAGGTTATTTAACAGGGTCTAATAGTAGGTTATTAACTTCCAATGATACACAATCACTATTTCTTCCAAGAAATAACAATTCCTTCAGCTAACTATTTTTAAATAGCGCCCTCAAATCAAAAAATAATTGATTAGCAATTCATACCATTCAATTTTTTCAGCTCATCCCAGGTGGTACAGTATATATTTAATTAGTAAAATATACATGGAGTTTTAAAAACTGTAAAAAATTAAAAAACTAAATCACAAGTGTTATTTGTTTATGTTTAATTAGGTCCTTCTCCAGTCAGGGACACCAACTCAAAAAGACACCAAGAGGTAGATGAAGTCGAGGAGCAGAGAAAACAAGCAAGAGCAGCAGAACAAGCCAGCCGGTCAGCTAGACTTCTATATGCTTTACAACAACAGGTAAAGCAACAATGACAACACTAAAGCCCTGTCTAGGCTATCAAATTTTATTTCACAAAAATATGTGACAAGCCTAAATAGGCACATCATGATTACATTTGGACATACAGCAGTGTTTTGTCAAATGAATTTGTAAGTGTGGACAGATCTTAATTATAATATGGATGGATGACTCAAGTTTGTCTGGTTTTTATTTTTATTACATTTTCCAAAATACTTATATGATTAAAAATTACAGATTTTATACTTTTATTATTCAATTTGATACCTCATTCATGTGATTATCATTTCACAAACCAATATGCTTGGGAAGAAGAGTGTGATGGTCATCCTGTAATGTAGGAATTATGCCAGTTCAACAGATCTGTGTCTAATGATGGTGATGTTAGCGTTGACAAGTGTGATGATTTTTAATGCAGTGATTACATGATATTCTTGCAGGTTCGAGAAATCAAAGATGATTTAGATCGAATTGGACCAAATCAGATTCGTCACACAAAGAAGGTAATAATATGAAACTTTTAATTTTTCACATTCAATAGCTTTACATTATATGAGGAGAAGTTTGAAATTGATAGTGATATTTTGTTATTGACTGGCAATCTTTGGCCTATATACCTTTGGCTGAGAGGTAATATTCCTACTCTTGCTTCTCTGACCCCCAGTTGGAACGCCCTAGTATTATTATTATTATTTTATTTAGCCATCATTTGAAAATGATATCTGGCCATCTCATACGTGCAATGTCTATTCAATGTTGTGTCTTCTCGCCCTATTTACATACCATAATATACTTTACCTATTTAAGTTAAGACTATCTCCTTTTAAACCATATTTAAATGTGTGCATCCAATATTTGTCCCGCTGCAATAGCATTCATACAAACAAACGGTTACTAGTTACACCAAAATTTTTTTTTTTTTTTTTTTTTTTACCCCCCAAACCTTTGATTCCTTCTTGGTAACAGACTTCCATTAATTTTGTTTTAATACCCTGTCTTTCTTCTAGCTTTTCGTTTTCTTTACATTTCTTTTCATTTCTTTTATTTCCTTTACTTTTCCTTTCTTTTCGTTTCCTTTTATTTTCCTTTCTTTTCTTTTTCTTTCTTTTCGTTTCCTTTATATACTTTTCTTTCTTTTCATTTCTTTCTTTTCTTTTCTTTCCTTTTCATTTTCTTTCTATTCATTCCTTACCATTTTTTTATCTTTCTTATCTTTTTCCTTTTCCCTTCTCTTCCCTTTCTTTTCATTCTATTCATGTCCTTTCTTTTGTTTACCTTTCATTTTTTTTTTATTCTGTTCATGTCCTTCTTTCTTTTATTTACCTTTCATTATCTTTCTTTTCGATTCACTGATTTTTCATTTACTTGTTTCTTTCATGTTCTTTCTCTTACTTACCTTTCTTTTCCTTTCCATTCTTTCTTTTTCTTTCCTTCTTTTCTTCTATTCTTTTTTTGCCTTTTTTTTTCTTACATTTCTTATCCTTTTGTTTTCATTCTATGTTTATTTTCCTTCTTTCTTTTCATCTTATTTCATTGTTTTACATTCTTGGCTTTCCCTTCTACGGTTGTACTTTCTTTTATATTTTATTTAGCTTTCATTAGAATGCAAATATGTGGCGGAATCAAAATAAAATAAATGCACACAGTCAAACACATGTCTTAGGAGACCTAAAATGAGAGTAATTATATAGAGCCTATTAATTTAATATTTCAGTATATTTCAGCATCAGCTTGTTAATTTTAGTCTGGTCACTGAATTCCTCAAATATCACAAACATTGAGAGTTTGACCTTGTGTGTAACCGTATGCATCTGTTACATGTTGTACTTATGTCAGGGAGTGCACCGCGGTTGCAGCTAGTCCTCGGGGCCAGCCCAAATTTCCAAGTTAAAAGTTGATTTGAAAAATAATAGTTAAATAATAAATAATGAAAAAAAAAATAAAATGAATGAATGAATGAATTTTAATTTTGACATTTCAGAGTCGAACACTAAATCGGTTAGCAGCTGCACACCGTGGAGCTGTGCGAGCAATTCAGACCTTCATTCAACAGCTGCCCAGTGAAGGGGAGACTCCTACTGGGAGCCATCCCCCGATGTACCAAGAACTAGCCCTGCTAATTAGACAGTTGTCCTTGTGTTGTAGTCAGATGGAGATCGGAGGAGCTGGAGTACCTGATGGTATTCTTGAAATCCTTCAACAAGCTACGGTAAGATGTAAATGAGGGTAAAAAGAGTTAGGAAGTGAACGTTGAAAGTAGTGAATATAGTTGTCTGTGCCAAACAGACTGCTATACAACAATGCTTACTGTTAAACTAGTGGATAAGATTGTATGCCCAACTGAAAATCACAAAAAGGTCAGCTTTTTTTCCCCCAAAATATTTCTTTCTCAAAGGAGCCTGAAATAAAGTATTTGTGTGATATTTTAAAAAGGATTTTTCAATCTATATTTTTTCTGTTGTTTTGAGTATAATTTGATATATTTAAATAATTTAAATAATTTATTTAACTATTTTTGTTCATTTGTCAGGTTTTTGTTGAGTTTATTTTACTGTTGAAGATGCTTAAAGATTAAAGAACTTTGCTGTATGATTTAATGTTCGAATTACTCATACGATATTGTATATTTAAAGGAATTTCAAAGTAATGCTGTTGAAGATACGCAGCCTAAATTGACCTCTAAGACGACCTCTCGAAAACAACACAACTACCAAGGAAATGAATATCCGATGCAGAAGAAAGTCACGACCACTAAAACAAGAAAGAAAAGTGGTAGGCCTTTCTTTAAATTTGGAATAAGTCTTGAACTAATTAACTTCATTACCAGACACAGATAATCTAACCTCATAATATCAGCGCTTTTTAGTTTATATCTCACCAATCCATGTTATGACATATCCCAACAATTCCCCTTCTTGATGCAGGTAACTGCTTATTGTGTGTACAGTACAGTAATCCGTATCCTTTGTCTTTCCTGGGATACATGATATTGAACCAAATCTTCTTCCTGTTGTTAATAACCGTCACTGTCTGATTTTAGATTTAAGATCCAATTTGCTAGAACCAATTGTTATAAATTTACTGTTTTTAATTATTTTCCTTATTTATGGAATGACCTACCTCCAAATATTAGGGAATGTGCAATTAATTCCACAAAATTTAAATATGTACTTAAGCAATACTTTTTTAATTAAATCATATTAAATTAATTAAATTATATTTTTACCTTAATGAAATTGTAATTCTCTTTGTAATATTTTTATTAATTTTTTATATTGTACATATATGAATTGTGAATTTTTCAGATTTTAATGTTTGTCTTTTTATTGTTTTGGAGAGCCTTTAGATAGTGATTAAATTCGCTTTTAGGTAATCCTCAGGCTTTTTGTGGTTTTTTTTGTCATTTGTTTCTCTTATCTATTGTACTGTATTGTCTTGCCTGGAAATAAATAAAATAAAATACAGTATCTGGATAATATCTGCGGTTGCTTTTCTAATTCTAATTCTAATCTCTAAATAACCTCAGACAATCTTTAATTATAGTGAATGATGTATTTATTAAAATATCTTTTAATAATAAATAATTATTAGCAACTAGTACTAGATTGTTCATTGAAAATGAACAACCAGTAAAAGATGCGGAAGTTTTGGGAACCACCACAGGGAAAGTGGATGATACACCAGGAAGAAGAAATTTCAACAGACTTGGCCATGATGTTAATGATAACTTGCAAGAACCCCAAGGTAATTTCATTATAGTGAAGACATAATATATTGAATGTACTAAATATATTGTAGACCACCAAAAAAAAGAATAAAGAAAACCTAAAAATTTAAAATAGAAATTTGAAATGCTCATTTCAAATATCAACACAATTTATCAACTTTCCCAGACTGAATTAAAAAAAAAGTTTTCGATGATACATAGATGTTTTATTTTAAAACCTTACATTTTATATATGCCCATATATATAAGGAATGGTACTACTTAAACATCCATGAATTAGCAAGAAAAATATTTTCATAATTTTAGTTGAAAGCTATATAACATATTGAGAAAAATTATAAATTCAGTTATATTATATTATTTTCAAGATCATATTTTATTTTGGTGGCAGTACATCATTAATTCCCTGAAACATAATACATTCTTAAATTACATTCTTAAATTCATCTTTTGTTATTTTTCCTAGATTATGGGAACAACTTCCTAATGAAATTAAACAATGCACATCCATTTCGGATTTTAAAGCCCAGCTCACAAAACACTTGATCTCAAAATATTAATACTA